TATTATTATTATTATCATCATCAGCAGTAATATCAATACCAATTCCTACTGTACTCAACGGGTCTTGATTGTGTTGGTGATTGGGCGGGCTGATCCTGAGATCGAGATTCAAGTCGGGGCACTTTTCGCCAATCGGGTTTGGGCCGTCGTTGGTCGAAAGCCCAATGTTCAGGTCGGAGTTCGATTTGGGCCCACAGAACGAAATTGTGGCTGAAGAAGGTGATGGTGTGGGCTCGGTGACGATTGGGCGGTGAGTAGTTGGGTCAATGCCTCGGCCCAGAAGCTTTCGTCTGATGTGTGTGTTCCAATAATTCTTTATCTCATTGTCTGTTCTTCCTGGCAGCCTCCCAGCTATAAGTGACCACCTATTTTTTTATTTGGGAGAAATATGAATAAATAAACAATTTAATTGAATATAGTTATTTTGATACCAAAAAAAAAAATAAAAATGTTTGAATAAAAAATTTTAACAGAAAAATTAAGTGTTCTGAAATTAGGATGCCATTGGATATAGTTATATTTCAGAAAAAAAAAAGATGATGAAAAAAAATGAATTAAAGAATATAAAAATATATTTAAAACTATAAATTAGTGAAAATGTGTCCATAGATAAATACTATACTTTATTAAAATGTAAATTTTATTTAATTATATTGATAAGAATGAAAAAAAAATATATGAATAATAATTTTCGTAAAGAAACTAATTCAATAATTATATAAAAAAAACGATAAATTATTGGGCGAAACAAAAGTAGAAATATTTTGTATCCAATTTCTCGTTCACTTTTTCAACCAAACAACAAGAAAGTGGTGAATCGACCGTGACCGGTCACGACAGCAACATTTTCATCCACCAAAAACATGTTCACTAAATTAATATTTTGAAAAAAAAAAAAGAAGCACAACTTTCAAATAATAATAATAAATTAACCGAATTTAAAATTCAAAAAAATAAAAAAAAAAACGGAACTCACTTGTTACCGAGCAGGCTATGTAGCTTGATGATAAGCTCGTCTTCCTCCTCCGTGAAGTTCCCCCTTTTGAGATCTGGCCGGAGATAGTTGATCCACCGGAGCCGGCAGCTTTTTCCGCACCGGAGAAGCCCCGCTGCCTTGGGCAGCGACCGCCAGCAGCCCTCGCCGTGCGCCCTTATGTAGGCTATCAGCCGGTCGTCTTCTTCCTTGGTCCACGCGCCCTTGTTCGTATGAGCTTTCTCACAGCAAGGCGACCTCCCCATACCAACAATTTATGAATTTAATTAATTTTATTGGAGTGATTTTATTTTAATTTATTTTTTCAAAAAATTGGGAGGATATTTGTTGCTGCTTGGAAATCAATCAAAGGGGCAAGAGTTCTATAAAGGGGCCTTTGGTGTGGGGTTATATACAAAGCAAAGTTTTTTGACTCAATTACTGTTTGTGTGTTTGTGTGTGTTTTAGAGAGAGAGAGAGAGAGAAAGGTATGGGATATAATTGCTTCTAGATGTGAGTTGGTGAGATAGGTATGAGATTTTATGTTGACACCTTTTATTTATCATGTAAGTCATGAAAGTTGTACAAAGGTGTGCCATATAATTTTAAAAAAAAAAATGTCATGTGTTAGTGTATCATTAAAGCATAATTATGGTATAAACCAGTCGAGTCGAGTTTGAGCTTCTAATATTTGAGTTATGGTTTCAGCCTTTGTCGAGCCGATAAACGATCTTAAGCTCGGCACTTTATGACGAGCCGAATTCAAATTGAGCTATTAAAAATTACATAATAATTCTCATTTTCGAGCTTTAATATGACGAGTTGAGCCAGTTCAATTCGTTAACTGAACGAGCTCTTGCTCGTCACGTCAGATTGAATTCGATCTCAACTAGCCAAGAAAATTCAAATTCACGACTGACTCATTTAATTTAACGGGTCTAATTATAGCTAGAGTAAATTTGATAGGCAAACCAAATGGTTTGGTACTCATCTAATTAGTTTTTAATAAATATGCGTATTTTTTTCAAATTCAAATATCATACTTTAAAAAACTGTATAAAAGAAGCATAATATTTTATATTATACGTATGCATTTCTTATTAAATAAGTATGAAAAATTGATCTGCCCAATAGTTAGTCATGCAAAAATTTGTGTAGTACAATGAGGTGTGATAACTAAATTACAAGAAATGACAAAGTGGAATTTTATCTCTTCATGATACTACCACACTTTAACTTTTTTTTATCCAACTAGGGACCATAAATGAGTTGTTTGTATGAAAACACAGTTGACCATGCCAAAATCTCTCTCCCCTTTGCCTGCACACTGGGCAGATTATAAATGTACCAGAATTAATTATGGGACGGTGAAGATAGTATTGGGTTGTTTTGAAATTATTTTAAAAGTATGAGTTTGGTGGTACATATTCATACAAGAGATAGTTGGNGAATTTTCTGAAAATACTTTCCTTTTCAACTTTCATTTGCAAAAACAGTGTAGTTACCTTTTAATTTTCTTTTACAAAACTAACACTACTACATAAATTCGTTTCGACCATTTATTGTGTACATATCGATAAATAACTATGCCTTTTATATTTATATTTGTTTATGACTTTATTTCGACTATCTAATGAGTTGTTTATAGACTTTTTTATAATGCATGTTAATTAACTTTTTTTTTCTTTTTCTTTTTATATGTGTATATATTGGCTTTTGGTCCGTGCAATTATAAATAAAATTATATATGCCATCATTATAAACTATTCAATCATGCACATGCTACCTAATTTCGGGGATGGTACAATTCTATCTTTAACATCTGCATTTTTTTTCACAATCATATGTTGTGTAAATAATAAATTAGGTATTTATTTTCATATTTTTGTCCATAATCATATCTTGAATTAAATGAAAAAAGGGCTCTGGCTCGAAATAAATAAAACCATGAACTCCCCTTAACTGTAAGAACATATTTCCTTCGATCATTTTACAACACGTGTAGAGAAAAAGTGAACTCAAAAGTAGAACAGAACCAAATTGTGTAAAACCAAGTGGGGTGGGGCAATATGCTATCCACCTATTTCAATCTAATTAGCAGAGGCCTAAATTCCTAATCTTATTTTTCTTTTAAATTAAATTGAGTTAGCTTATGTATGAAATTAAAATAGAAATTGCTTTCCAAAAGCTTTTTACTTGCGAGCATAGACTAGAATTGGTTGTTTGTGTGTACTTTTATTCTGTTTGGTGATCCAAAATGTACATTATATGTGTTATATAAAGGGCTTCTAGAAGGATTGGAGGTTGGGGGCCAAAAGGAAAATAATAATAATAATAACAATAATACTAATAATAATAAAAATGAAAGTGTGGGTTGTGGTTGTGTGTGGAATTTGGTTTACCTTCCACTTTTCATTTTTCTTTTAATTTTGCCTAATAAACCTTATGGTGCAAGTTTAGGCATTAGAGACTTAGAGTAGAGTTAGGGTTGGGGGAGAGTTGGCTTTGAGATGGTTTGCTTGATACACTTTGTTGAGAAGTTAACTGAAGTTAAAAAAAAAATAGTTAAAAGCTACAAACTGAAAGCAAGTCGAAAAGTGTAAATTTTGTTGATGAGAGTTAAAGTTGGAATCAGGTCGTCTATCTTATGTTCCATTTATAAATTCATCTCAATTTCATATTGTTGGGTAAATGACTCGTGTACAAATATAATAGCATCATGTACATGTACACAGTCAATCAATTTTTGCAAATCTTTTTCTACACAAAACTGTAACAAAATAAAATGAAGCACGACATAAAATATAAAGTTGGAATATGAAATCCCAATCTCTTAAAACTAAGTTCCATAACTTGCTAATCTTAAGTAAACTGTAAACCTCAAATATTTATAACTATGCATTCACTTGATTTTTTTTTTTTTTTAAAAGATAGAGCTATTATCAAGAATCTTGAATTTCTCTAAAAATACTCAAATAGACATGGGTTTCCACATGCATCAACACTTTGACACATGCATAGATATAGAATTTTGTATCATTGGAGGAACACTTGATTACTCTACCAAATAGTATAAACTTATTCCAATCATAGNAGAGAGATGGCCCTTGTGTGTAATATCGTTTGTGTGTTTTACCTACCACCTCACTTTTTTCAGATAGCTAATTTGCTATAGTCCAAAAGCTGGCTCCACAGTTGATGTGGAACATTAATGGCACGGGCTGTGATTTCAATTTATATTGTGAAAATGATCATGTAATCATAATTAAACATGACATCATTAATACTAATTACCAAACTACTTGGAAATCCTCGTGATTAGTGGCTATAGTTGTTAAATGAAATAAGTCGCTCGTAAGCCCGGCTCAAATTATTGGCTCGTTTGATAGGTGAGCCGATCTCGAGCTCGATTAAAGCTCGTTTCATGAGTGAGCCGTGCTATGCTCGAATCAGTTCGATAAGGCTCAAAAAGAAATTTTTTATATAATTTTCTATAGTTCATGCTAGTTAAACTCGATGTCGGCTCGTTAATATTGATAAACGAGCAAGTTCGTGCTCGATTTTTGACTCGTTTATTAACGAGGCGAGCCCGACTCGACTCGTTAAGGGCTTGAGCTCTAGCATTCTGAACTCGAGTTTTGCTCGACTCGTTTACAGCCCTATTGGTGGCCAATTAAATCTCTGCAATAACACCAAGCTTGGCTAGCACCATTCCCATTTACTAGATATATAAACATTTTTCTTTGTGTGAACAAATTAATTCTTAAACGAGTCAACCTGTCATATTTGTTTGATAAAAATACATATTTGTGCTATAAAATATTACATATTTGCTTAATTATATTATTTCTTAAAGCATGACATTTCAGTTTGAAGCACAAATATTGAAAATTATACATAACTAATTGTTAGGTCTACCTATTTGAAGGTCTGCATAAATATTGAAAAGTGACAGAAACTGGGGGAAAATGGGTGCTGACCCACTACCATGAAGGACACTATGAAAAAAGAGAAAAACCCATATGAAGCCCAAACTCACAAGTGATATTCTAACACGCTCCCTCACTTGTGAGTCCTTCGAAAGCCCAAGCGCAACTGGGCTGGGTGCCCCAAGCCCTACTACAAACAGGCTCCCATAAACGGGTACGTGGGGGATAAACAATGGGTACGTCATCACACGGTCCACAGGAGGTTGCTCCAAGCCCTACTACAAACAGGCTCCCATAAACGGGTACGTGGGGGATAAACAATGGGTATGTCATCACACGGTCCACAGGAGGTTGCTCCAAGCCCTACTACAAACAGGCTCCCATAAACGGGTACGTGGGGGATAAATAATGAGTACGTCATCACAAGGTCCAAGATAGAACCGGCTCTGATACCATGACAGAAACTGGGGGAAAATGGGTGCTGGCCCACTATCATGAAGGACACCATGAAAGAAGGAAAAAACCCATATGAAGCCCAAATGAGGTTCCATCCCAAAACCAATAGCCCATTAGTCTTATAAAGTGGGTCTATTTTCCATATATGAACGATGTGGGACAACTCACAAGTGATATTCTAACAAAAAACATATATATTCTAACAAAAAACATATTTGTGCTATAAAATATTAAATATTTGCTTAATTATATTATTTCTTAAAGCATGACATTTCAGTTTGAAGCACAAATATTGAAAATTATACATAACTAATTGTTAGGTCTACCTATTTGAAGGTCTGCATAAATATTGAAAAGTGACAGAAACTAGGGGAAAATGGGTGCTGACCCACTACCATGAAGGACACCATAAAAGAAGAGAAAAACTCATATGAAGCCCAAACTCACAAGTGATATTCTAACACGCTCCCTCACTTGTGAGTCCTTCGAAAGCCCAAGCCCAACTGGGCTGGGTGCCTCAAGCCCTACTACAAACAGGCTCCCATAAACGGGTACGTGGGGGATGGGTACGTCATCACACGGTCCACAGGAGGTTGCTCCAAGCCCTACTACAAACAGGCTCCCATAAACGGTCCACAGGAGGTTGCTCCAAGCCCTACTACAAACAGGCTCCCATAAACGGGTACGTGGGGATAAATAATGGGTACGTCATCACAAGGTCCAAGATAGAACCGGCCGGCTCTGATACCATGACAGAAACTGGAGGAAAATGGGTGCTGGCCCACTACCATGAAGGACACCATGAAAGAAGGGAAAAACCCATATGAAGCCCGAATAAGGTTCCATCCCAAAACCAATTGGTGGAAAGAGGAGTAGCCCAT